TATGCAGTAATAAATTTACGTGGTGTTTCCATAAACAAAACTATTATATGTTTTATCGCCATGCAAACGTACAAAGAACTTAGGTGTAGAATATGTTTTCAGATTTTGTTTTGTACTATTCCCATTGCTTAATTAACCCTAATTACCTTGCTCACTTTGCCTACATAGCTAGCATCAATGCTTATTACCCTATTACGCGTAATAAAAACAAAATTGCATAACTAACAGTCTTAAAACAGGCATCATTTGAAAAAATCTGACAATGTCTTTAGTTAACCCATTGAGCCCCAATGTGCCCCAGTCCGCCCTAATTCTTTTTATTACTTGTCTAACGCCAGACGATTTTACTCGTCAATGGGGAAGCTCTGCAGCTCAATGGGTTAATTATGTCACAACCTGCCAGTTACTGATGCCGATACTGATTTTATAATGACGTCATAATATCATTCGACCGGGGTAAAGGTGACATCATTCATGTCGATTTTTTTAACGATAATTTTCAACGTAACATGTTACTGCAACCAAAGATCATTAAAACTGTTAATAAATGCATTTAATGGGTTAAAGCAAGAAAACTTCGAGTCTGCAGCAACAAGGGCAAATAATGTTAGCCAATCAGCGCGTTTGTTTACATTTTGCGTTATTGACCAATCAGAATGCCTGAAATTCGAAACATGTAAACAAAAGGAGTGAGAAAATAACACCTTGTTCTACGCCCTCGGTGACATTCGATAATAAACTTTTTTCGCCAAAACTGACAAATTCTGATAAAGCAAGCTTTCTTCTTTAATTTCCTCGGGGGGATTTTTTAAATCCGATCTAGAACGCGAAATATTTATGTTTGAATAACAGTGTTTCGACGCGCGTAAAATAGCAGACTCTCACTTGCACTATCTTTACACACACATAAAAAATTGGTAGATTTGGCAGTTTAAACTTATTTTCCCCGCACCACAGCTGACATGTTTTTAAATATTACCTATCTGATCTCATCGATCTCATTTCGCATCGGAAATGCGTCACAACGATCCACAACTGACAGGTACAATATCGCATGACTCATTACTGTACATTAAAAGTACATATCCGGTTGGCAAAATGGCGATTGTCTGACAGACCTTCGCGAAGGGCTTAATATTTTTGCTAATAAAGCTAATTTTGCTAATCACGAGGGTTTCGTTCTGTTCGTCTTCTGGTTCGTCGTCAATCATCATCGGCTGCCTCACTTTCTTGGTCGCTTTCGTCCTCTTCAAAGCAAGTCACCGGGGCAATCAGCGTTAATATTTGCTGTCTTTCGAAGACCTTCCAAGAGCTTCAACATTTGCCAACGTTGTTGCTTCACAAACTGGGCAATCGCTGATGTTGGGCAGGATGCATTCGATGTGGAACGTAGGTCCACAACCACGGAAAACGTTCCAAATGGAATAACCTTTTCGCAGGCAGGCAAATCGCAGGTAAGATTTATATTTTATATTTACAGATCTTGATACATTTATAGTCAACGTCCTTGGTGATTGTTCCAAAAATATATGAGTGTGTACCAAAGTTAAAATATTACTCATAATCTCCAGAACATGTTTGGACAATGTTTTGAATCACTGCAGTTTAGAATTAGCAGTCGTTTTAAAGACAACAGAACTGGCAGCCATGGCACCCAATAACTATTCAGTGTACAAATACCAGACAATGTAAATTACCACCTCCCCCAACCCAGAAGTAGGCAGTTTTTATTTCCCAGCACTGCATAATCAAAATTGCTGGATTGTATAAATGCCTGGCTTTGTCTCAGTGGCCCTGCTTTGCCCCATGAACCCCACACTTCCTAGATTCAAGCAAGCGGGGACTTATATTGACTGGTACTTAGGTCCTGTTTATATGGAAGCCGGGCTGGCCCGCTAAGTGAGACAGCCCGGTAAGCGAGATCTCGCTGTGTAGTTATTTTTATAGTAAAAATTATTGTGCGTTTATATGGACAAGTGGGCTGGCCAGGTTGCCGAGATCTCACTTGAAAAGAGGTGAGATCTCACTTGAAAAGAGGTGAGATCTCACTTGAAAAGAGGTGAGATCTCGCTTACCGGGGTGGAAATTTCTCCATATAAACACTCACAAGCGGGCTAGCCCAGTTGCTGGGATGAAAGATACCGCCGCAAGCTATTTTTAGCAACCGTCAAAACCAGCAAGCGGGATGAAATTTTCCCATATAAACACAAGAGAAATTCATCCCACCTGCCTGTCTCGCTAAGCAGGCCAAGCCCGACTTCCTGCATATAAACAGGCCCTTAGTTGAATTGCAGCACTTGGTCTGCCTGTGTTACGTGTACCCTGGTTCTTCTTTGCAAGGTAAAAGAAACAAGAGGTGAGAATGGAAAGCCTCTGATCATATCAATTGCAAATCCCACTTCCACACTTGAATAGGTTCAGAATTTGAATCTTGCATGTGATTGGCCATTTGTAAAAATATGTCAAACCTGTTTGGGAAATAAACACTACTGTGAGCTAATTATAGCTATCTATCTATTTAGCTTTGCCAACTAGGGCCGGGTCACCACAACAGCATATGCCAATTACTGTGGGCCCTTTTTACCTAACCCACCCTGTCAACTTTCCATGTGGGAGGAAACTGGAGTACCCGGGGAAAACCTGTGACGTTCGGCAGAGCGTTGCGGTTTATTCTTTTCACATGAGGACTGGGTTTGAGTCGCATTGAGAAAGTTCTCACTGACTTGAACCTGCGGCCTCAGAGGTGACAGGCAAGTGCGCTAACCACTTAGCCACTGAAGCCCCAATTAAAAAGCCCCAAGCTATTATAGTAAACTCAACCAAGCATTAATATTAATACTCCCGCAGGTGAAAAGGTATTAAATTTCTCAGGAGATAAACATATCAACATTAATCAGTTTTGCAGGACATGTAATACATTCTTGGTTGAGTTTAATAGAATATTTTAATACAGGCTATAATAAGCTTACAGCAATGTTTATTTCCCAAGCCAGTTTGGCATATTTTTACAAATGGGCAATCACATGCGTATTCAAATGCTGAACCTAATCAAGTGTGGAAGTGGGATTCGCAATGGACAGTGATCCTGGGCTGTACACAACACAGGGGAGGGGGCGGCAGGAGGGGGAAACTGCCCTCCTAAAGAAAACTATATTTACAATTTTTAAAATGTCATAATTATTAATTATTCTTTGGATATTTGGAACTTTTTTCAACATATAAACCTTACTGCCCCCTGGTGATACGGCCCTGATGTGACCAGAGGCTCTCCGTTCTCGCATCTTGTTTCTTTCGCCTCGCAAAGAGCCTCTGGAACCAGAGTACACTTAAAGTAACACACACACACATACAGAGCAAATAATATAATGCTTTAAGGCAGTGAATTGGTAGGGAAATCTTTCAATAATATCCTGTGATTATGGTAAACTATGTACCAATACCAGACAATATAAATCCCCGCCTGCTCAAATCCCAAAGTGTGGGGCAAAGCAGGGTCACCGAGACAAAACCAGATATTTACACACAGATATGTACAGATAGTGACAGTGCTGAGAAGTAAAAACTGCCTACTTCTCGGTTGGGGGAATAGTAATTAATTACATTGACTAGTATTGTACACTAAATAGTTATGGGGTGCAATGGCTGCCAGTTCTGTTGTCTTTAAAAGAGTGCTAATTCTAAACTGCAGTGATTCAAAACATTCAAACATGTTCTAGAGATTATGAGTAATATTTTAACTTTGGTACACACTCATATTTTGGAACAATTTCCAAGGACGTCCTGACTATATTGTATCACGATCTGTAAATATAAAATATAAATCTTCCTTTAAAATTTCCATCGATTTGCGATTTGCCTGCCTGCAAAAAGGTTAATTCACTTGGAACGTTTTCCGTGGTTGTGGACCTTCGTTCCACATCAAATGCATCCTGCCCAACATCAGCGATAGCCCAGCTTGTAAAGCAACGTTGAAGCTCTTGGAAAGACAGCAAATACTAACGCTGTTTGCTCCGGCGACTTGCTTTGAAGAGGACGAAAGCGACCAAAAAGTGAGGCAGCCGATGACGATTGACGACGAACCAGAAGACGAACAGAACGAAACCCTCGTGAACAGTTTATTAGCAAAAATATTAAGCCCTTCGCGAAGGTCTGTCAAACAATCGCCATTTTGCCAACCGGATATGTACTTTTAATGTACAGTAATGAGTCATGCGATATTGTACCTGTCAGTCGTGGATCGTTGTGACTCATTTCCGATGCGAAATGAGATTGATGAGATCAGATAGGTAATATTTAAAAACATGTCAGCTGTGGTGTGGGGAAAATAAGTTTAAACTGCCAAATCTACCAATTTTTTATGTGTGTGTAAAGATAGTGCAAGTGAGAGTCTGCTATTTTACGCGCGTCAAAACACTGTTATTCAAACATAAATATTTCGCGTTCTAGATCGAATTTTAAAAATCCCCCCGAGGAAATTAAAGAAGAAAGCATGCTTTATCAGAATTTGTCAGTTTTGGCGAAAAAAGTTTAATATCGAATGTCACCGAGGGCGTAGAACAAGGTGTTATTTTCTCACTCCTTTTGTTTACATGTTTCGAATTTCAGGCATTCTGATTGGTCAATAACGCAAAATGTAAACAAACGCGCTGATTGGCTAACATTATTTGCCCTTGTTGTCTGCAGCACAATAGCCTGCGTAGCAGTCGCTTTATTTTATTGTTGGTTTTGAGGATTTTTGAATAAATGGCGAGTTACCCGCCATTTATTCAAAAATCCTCAAAACCTACAATAAGATAAAGCGACTGCTACGCAGGCTAGCAGCACAAGGAAACATTGGCCAAGCAAACACCTTGCTTATAATTCCTCAAATTTGTGCAATGTCTTCAACTCAAACAGTCTCATTTAAGGCACCCCCTCCCATCGTTCAATAAGTCTGTGATCTCTGGACAAAATCTATTTGTTGACAACTTGACGACCCCTAACTATTACTAACCTTTCAACATTCCATTTGAAGGTGAAAAGTATGAGGGGCGTGCAAAGAGCAAGAAAGAAGCCAAGCATATAGCAGCTGAGAATGTGCTACGAAGCAAGGGTTTATGGCCTATGCAACAGGGTTTGGCACAGGTAGAGCGTGACAGCGTGGATGCAGTAATGTTGCCACCGTCCGATACTGTGAAGAAACCAACCGATGAAGAAGCAATAGTTAAAGCGATCAATGATGGAAAGAATCCAGTGTCAGTTACACATGAGTATCATCCTGATGCAAAGTTTACGATTGTTAGTGATGTTGGAAGAGCTCATAGTAAAATCTTTACTAGCGAGCTAGTCCTAAATGGTAAGACATACCTGGGAACTGGTGCTAGCAAGAAATCTGCAAATGTGTCTGCAGCAGCAAGAGCTATGTTTGAGCTTTATGGTGTCATTCATTGCACAAATAATGAAGATGTTTCTGAGCCAGCTGATTTGGAGTTCCTTGTACCACAACCACTGGCAGATAAAATTGGTGAGATGGTTCACCAAAAGTTTGCCCAGTTGACTGAGTCGGGCAATGCACCAAACCTGAAGCGTAAAGTGTTGGCTGGGATCGTGAAAACAGTTCAGAAAGGAGAGGAGGTTGTTGAAATGGATGTGATCAGTCTTGGCACTGGAACTAAGTGTATTACCGGGGAGAGCATCAGTAATGCAGGACAGGCGCTCAACGACTGTCATGGCGAAGTCATTGCTAGACGTGGATTGTGCCATTATCTGTACGAGCAACTCGATTTGGCAGTGAAGGGAAAGGTAAAAGTGTCTTGCTTTTCAAAGAAGAAAAGTGGTCAGTATGCTTTGAAGGAAGGTGTTGCATTTCATCTTTATATCAGCACTTCACCATGTGGGGATGGTAGAATATTTTCACCAAAGGAAAAGGAAGTTGATGAGCCAGGTGACAGACATCCTCAGAGGAAGACAAGAGGATTACTTCGAACCAAAATTGAAAATGGTGAAGGTAAGTGAAATGGAATAAGCTCTTTGTATGTTTGAATGGCAATATGAATATGCTTAGGCTTATGGGTTGAAAGCTTTGCATTACCAAATAAACATGATGTTTTCCTAAACCAAAAAATTTTAAGTGTAGCATATTAATGTTTGAGTCTGTCAACAAAATGGCTCCCAATAGATTTGCTTTTGTATTTCAAACCCTGTCAACTCGTATATTGTGGACTTCTCTTTGCTTTAATAGTAATGCCCCATGACACTACCTGATATTGTTTGTTTGTGAGTTATAATCATGATTTTTCAAGCCTCGGTTTGCTAGAGTGAGGCATTTTAAATTAACTTACCAAAAACAATGAGTTTTTTCAAACCATTGACAGATATCATGGTTGAATCATTAACACTTGCCGGTGCAGCAGGCCGGCTAAGACCATGCAAGCTAGGAGTCCAACTGTTTCATGGACACATATGGACCGTGCAGCGATTTTATGATTTGGGGGGGGGGGGTATCTCCATTAATCATGGACAGTCTTATTTGCCTAATAGGGATGTACTGGATATTGCTTTGCCGGATACCGGATGGTACCGGATAGTAGTCTACTAGATAATAACCAGATACTGATGTACTTGGACAATACGTAACTTTTTGTCATAAAATAGTCCATTGGGCACAAGGATCGTTAGACAATGTACATTTCGTTTTAATATGTCACTTGTTCAGTAGACTAGTTGTGTTTCATAATACCTTAAAGGCCGGTTTACACTTCTGAGATTTCTGCGATCTTCTTCTGATGGATGTGAACGAGTAGACGAATTATGAATGTTCTGAGTATGTGTATCCTCATCTGAACATCCATAACTCGTTCACTCGTTCGTATCCATCAGAAGAAGAAAATCGCAGCAAAAATTGCAAGTGTAAACGGGCCTTATAAACGGAGAATAGACCGTTGTGTGGTTACAATAAAAGTTTGAGTACTGTACTATCCAGTAGTACTTACCGCCAGATGTCTACATGTACATTTTATTGGATACCAGTATCCGGATGATCCAGCACATCCCTAAATGCACCAAAATCCCAAACACCAAAATGTGAATCTATCATGCAAGTTAGTATGTGAATTTTATCTGTGATCTTGTTCTCTTAATAAGATATCAATAATGGCCCCAAAGAATATACAGTAACAATATGCATGTTAAGTTATAATAAATGTTAAGTTGGTATAAATTACCGTATGCAAATCCCAAATTTGGATGGCCATATTTGAAGATCCTGGCTAAGACCTAGACAAGTAAAACTGTGTGGTACTAGATGGTAAAAGTGCACTGAGTTTTTACTGCCATATACTGGTGTTAGAAACATGCTTGTAAACATCTCTGTTTTGACATTTTAAATCTGATTTTGTTTTTACCGGTAATTTTTAGCAAAGCATATTTGGTCTTTTCTGGTTGCAATGATACTACTATTTGCATTCAAGCATTACACTGGACCACAAAACAAACTGTTTGCAAGTTATGCAACAAAGTTATCATTGGACAACTACACACTGACATGTCAAAACATGAAACATTATGCTCGCTTGTTTTGAAATGTGAAACGTGTGGTTGTCCAATAATAACATTGTTGTAATCTTGGGAATAATGGCCGGTGTAACGCTTGAATGCAAATGGTACAGTAGCACAACAAGGTATCCTTGGAAAGCTAATGACCTCATCTTTCTTGATACAGTTCAAGTAAGTCGGTAAACTGATTAGCTCTGGCATAAGTTGGTTTAGATATTTTGTACACATTGTAAAAGGCATATTGTTAAGCAAGCCATTGGGAAGATGTTTGTAAGACACTTTAATTATGAAAACACCTGATAAGATATACGGTCTGTTCAAAATAAAATTTACAATCTGGACAACAAAGGGACAAATTGGCAAAAATTTTAAATGGCTACGACCACTTTGACAGTATGCCTTACACTGTAAATATGATATGCCTGAACTTGTTGAAACATTAGTCATTGTGTTAATTATTTGCCTCCCAAACTCGACAGGAAATGGTGTTAATAAAGTATTTTATTTTATCAGGTACATTACCAGTTCGCGTTGGGGGTGTTGTGCAGACATGGGATGGAGTACTACAGGGAGAACGACTTCTGACCATGTCTTGCAGTGACAAAATCTCAAAATGGAACGTCGTTGGTCTTCAAGGTGCTTTGCTTAGCCACTTCATTGAGCCTATCTACCTCACTTCAGTTGTTCTTGGTAGTTTGTACAACTTCCACCACCTCACTCGTGCCTTGTACAGGCGATTGGGCGTTCTCGATCTTCCTGATCCCTATCACCATAATTACCACCTGGTCAATGGTATTTCCCTTCCCGAACCGCGTGCTACAGGAAAGAGCCCTCCTTGCAGTTTGAATTGGTTATGGGGGAAAGACGCATTGGAGTGTGTTAATGCAAGTAGTGGCAAGCTGGAGAACGGGGAAGTTTCGCGACTCTGCAAAAATGGGTTCTTCCGAAAATTCCTGCCTCTGTGGAAGAAACTGAGACGTAATGTGGCAGAACCAGCCACATACCATGAAGCAAAACAAAGTGCTGAAAACTACCGACGTGCTTTCTCAGTCCTCAAGAATGAGTATGAAGCTAAGGAGTTGGGAAAGTGGGTGGAAAAACCAATTGAGCAAGATGACTTTTAAACTTTACAATTTGGATATATATTAGATTTTAACAGTTTTAACCAGCTCAGTAGGTTGTACTTGTATTAACGTGTTTGAGAGAACTCAACGAAATGGAGATTGAATACTTAGAACACATGAGAACCCAATTTAATTTTTTTATTGCTGTGACAGTAATGTAGCAAGAATTACACTTCTTAGTTTGATTGCATTTCTTATGTTTCCGTGTATTTATTGTAGCGCAGCTTGCCTCGCAGTTGCAAAGTAATTGCAATGCTAATGGCATTCATGTCATACCTTGCAATTTCACCCCCTGAGAAGTGCTCCAGCCTCTATCAGGCTCCATGTAAACAATTTTCAGACTCTAACCTGTACCTAAATCTCGTTTGCATTTGCCTGTACAGTAACGCGAACACTGTGTTCACGAAATTAAAGGCCGGACAAAATTGGAACACGCAAATTTGTGAGTCGCCCCGTACCTATATGGGCAGGTTTTGTGGTTGGTTGATTGTAGCAATAAAAGACAATATAAATTATCTTGCTAAAAAAAACCCTGGGTCAGAACACTGATTCAAGGCCGTCGGAAGTAAATCAATATTTGGGGGGGGGGACTCAAGAATAAATCTGATTTGCTTTCGCACTTCTAATTCTTTTGTGTGTCTTGCTTATACAAATGGAAATTATTGGGGGGGGGGGGCTCAAGCCCGCTTCCGACGGCCTTGTGACCAGGGAAGCCCTGGGAAGCGAAGCCATTCACAAAACCATAGAATAAAGATCCATATAGAAGGGCCACTTACGTCGGAAGCTTTGAAGTTTCTGTCCTCGCGCATGTCGCATTGCGCATATTGACCGCCATTTTCCTAGCCAGTCAATGACATTTTCTGGCCGATAAACACGCTGTACTGGCTGGCTGCTCCACCTTCTGGCCAGTAAACTGCATAGTTTTGCATAAAAAAAACGAGGACACGTTGCACCTCTGAGTGGCCCTTCTGTTACTGATCTTTATTCTGTGACAAAACGTTACATGGTCTCGAACCGACTTTACCTCGTAGTTCAGTTGGCAGAGCAGGGTCGCGGGTTCGGTTCCCACCGTGGTTAGGCCATAGATATCTTATGGGTTAGGCAGGCTTTTCAGCTTGCTGGTGTGGATGCACACTCGGAGAACAGGCATCGTATTCACCTGAGTACATAACACCAACACACACAAAAATGGTCAAGAATTTGTCTGATCCCATGACATGTGAGTAGCTTTATATTTTTAAATTTGGTAACTTTTGAATGTTGAGTGCGTAGACTTCCCATAAAGTTGACAAATGTTTTCTTTAAAGCTTTGCATGGCGTTCACAGTAAAAATAAGGAACAATTTGTGGTTACACCTAGGGTTGGGCGATATTAAAAAAAATCATCTCACGATTATTGTGGAGGAAATTATCGCGATATTCGATAATATCGCGATAAATGCAATAAAAACAATGACAAGTAAAACAACAAATTAAAGTAATAAGAAGGCTTTTTCTTGTCTAATATTTACTGTTCATAAACCTGAACTGTCTATGCAGTGTCTACTGTGACACTGTGTCTCCGCAGGCACAAATGCTGTGGGCACACAGGCGCAAGCATTAGCAGGCAATTTCATTGTTCAGCGGATTAATACATAAATATTAGCTTTTATATCGTCGCGTCGTTATAAAATTCGTATTTAATTCAGGAAGTAGTTTTAATTCTTATAAAAACTATATTTTCTAGAAATTGAAGGAATTTTTTAGGATTTTATAACAGCTATATAGTATACACATGCGAAGCAATATCACGATAGTCAACGAGCATGACGATATTAAATTTCGATATATCTCAAGTTTCTACCTTCGATACGATAATCGCGATTGAAAATATCGCGATAAATCGAAATATCGAACTTACACCATATATTTAGTTAAATACATGGTATAACCGCAAATTGTTCCTTATTTTTATTTGGTAACTTTGTTTGGGATCTTGTCATTGTCCAGTTACACTTTAAGGCCATCGGCTCTATCAACGTTTCCTTGGCAACAAGGATTGCACGAAGAAAGAAATATGGCGGGCTGTACTTGCAGTTTTGAAAGATTGTGAACCTTGTTCTCGAGATTTTTTGGTTTATTTCTGAAAGATTTAATGTAGAATGTCAGAAGAAACATCGAATCAGAACAGTGGGGATGGGAGCGGTAATTTAGTTGCCCCGCAAGATATATTGCCGCTATTCTTTACCAGTAAAACACAGCAAATATTTGGATGCATAGCTGACGAAGATGTGAATGCGGAAAATCCACACAAGGTTATTCCAAAAGAAACCATTTTACAAGATTTTAAGGACAGAGCAGCAGTTTCTGATTTTCATCCTGCAAAAAAGATTGTTTTGGTATGTATATATTTTTAATGCAACAAATTATTCAATATGTCAATGAAGATATCTGAATATTTCTGAACCAGAAAATTAATAACAAACAATGAAACATACCACTGTTCATTTCAAAGTTTAAAACTTCACCATTTATGTTCTCTCCGTTTTCATTCTTAGTACATACAGACTTCACAGTTTAAAGAATGTAAAACAAGTTGAATAATTTCACACATTTATAATAACAAAGTGTCTATTCAGGCAGCTATTTAGTAAACTGCCGGCTATATAGTGACTATAGTTAAATATAAAAACTTTTGTTTGCGCTAGTCTTTACTGAGTTTGCCGTTAGGGCGTTGCGTTCGGGAAGTGAAATGCAGTCTGGATCGGGTTGTGTTTTGTCTGACTTTGACCCCGTTTACACAGTATCAGACAAATTTGGAACCGGGTTAAAATTCGTCCGTTTTGGCCTTCCGTTTTCACGAGAACTACGGAAACGGATGAATTTGAGACCCCCTAACAGGATGAATTTGTGTGTAAACAGGCGAAAAAGGACAAATTTCAGACCGGTCCCAAATCCATCCGGTACCGTGTACATGGGGTCTTAGCATTTTTTTTCTTAAAATTTTTTAAACTTTTTCCTGCCTTTTCTAACTCTCAAAAGGTTAGGTTAGGGGTTACGGTTAGAGAAGGGTTTGGGGTTAGGATCGGTTTATCTTATAAAAATTCAACTTTAACTATAGTCACTATATACTCGGCAGTTTACTAATATTGCAGGCTGTATTACACACTTTGTTATAATAAATATCTTCAAAAGTGTCACAAAGCTTTTCCAATCCAATCCTTTAATTGAATTGCTCTTGCAGCCAGTCTCTTACAAAATTAAAATCCTTAACTTTCTTTAAAACACTGTCCAACAATTCTGCCACAATTGGTGTGCTGGCCAACATGCAGGCATTGTACAAAAATAGGTATGCTATTTAATATATAGTGTACATGGTATCTACTGGTCATTTGAAGCCAGAACCTCGAATCACACAAAGATGTTTTAATGCTATCAAACGCATGATTATTATGATGACACATTTTATTAGAATGATGATATAGCCTATTATACATATTACAGAAATATACAGGTTACTGAAAACCTTTACTAAATAGTAGCTTTCGTCGCAAAATAGTATGACAGTATAGCTGCATTCTGTTCTTTAGTGTTTTACATATGTTTGCCAATTGCAGGGGCACCACTAAATGGGGGTATGGGAAGGAGGGGGGGGAACACCACCAGTTGTCTGGTAGCTAGTTGTCTGTATATCACAAGACTACGTATAAAGTATTCTGCCAGACTATAAAACTCTAAATGTTTACTGGCCATCATTGGTCAGCAAAACAAGTAAATTATTAGGATCTGGACATTTGTCCCACACCTGGTGACATGTAAATGTTAAATGGGGTAACACAATACTATAATTGTTCAACCTCCATATGTCTGTATCAGACATTCCAACTCTCCCGATTTTACTGGGAGTCTCCCGAAAATTCATGCAATCTCCTGGTCTCCCGATTTTTATGAAATTCTCCCGATTTTTCAGAATATTCAGGAAATATCATTAAAAAATCATAAATATACTGTTTTTAGCACCATAATAGTCTGTCTTGACCTTTTTATGAAGTTACTTTATGGCAATTTATGGGATCACTTATAACAACATACTCCCAAAATGCAGGAAACGCCATTTCAGAAGACTTAATTTTTATTATTTTTTCTCAGAAGAACTAGATTTCAATTCATTGAACAGTCTCCCTAAATTTTACGTCGAGTAGTTTGAATGTCTGCTGTATACGTTTACATTACTCAGTAGAACTAATTTTCATTTTAGGTTGTAAATCAGAAATTATAATGAAAATATTTTAGGCATCTTGCTAATTATGCACATGATCCCCAATAGGTTTATAAAAAAATAAACTATTACGATTATGTCACCAATTGAATACACACGATTTAAAGCAAAATCAGTAGAATTAACAATAAATATGTTATATAATAACTACAGTGAAACACGCAATCTGATTGGTCAATACCCGTACAGAGTGGCAAGTTCACCAAAACAGTGAACAAAGCCAA